TATATCATATCTCTTATCATCTGGATTGATATTGCATTCTTTATTTAGTTTAAGTAATTCCAAATGTCCTTTACCGGGAAATACTCCTTCTCCAAATAAAAGCAAATGAAAAATTGCTCCACAACTAAAGATATCGCAGATTCTACTATATTCTTTATCTTTTTCAACTAAATTGGCAACTTTACTCTAATTAAAACATAGAAATTACTTTCTGGAGCAACAAATCCTGGAGTACCACATTTAGGATAAAGATAAGGAGTATCAGTTTATATTGCGGCAAGTCCGAAATCGCCTATCTTTAAGGTTGTAAAATCTTATGGTTTCTAAAATAGAATGTTTTCAGGTTTTAAATCTCTATGCATGACTCCTTTGCTATGAATATAGTCAACAGCTAATAAAAGGTGATGCATAATCTGAAATAATTGATAGTAATTACAATTTTAATTTCTGAATCTTCTAGAATTAAATTGCGTTTTGTTAATTCTGCTTACAAATTTTCCCCAGAACATAAATCCAACACTAAATTAATACTATTTACACCATCATAAACTTCATGCAAATTAACTATTTAAGCGTGTGGACTTAAAATTCTCATAATTTCTATCTCATTCATCACTGCTTTTAACCCTTTATCAATTTTATCAAGTTTTTTTTTCTCTATACACTTTCCCGCATATTGCTATCCAGTGAAAATGTTTTTCAATTGAAATACTACAGCATAACTACCCTCTCCCAATACCTGCTAAGTTTCATATTCATCTTCAAGAGAACTTTGTTAAACAAATTTCTGTAATATTTTTTTTAAGGCTATTAACATTTCAAAATCCGCATAATATTTCAATAATTCCTTATTATTATTAGTCTCTAAAGTAAAGCTTTTAAGAAAGGTTTTGAATGTTTTTGGATTAATTGAATAGTTCCACTTTACTCTAATTATATTTTCAAAGCTAATCACTCTTGCAGGATCACCTTTATTTTAGTTTCTATTTATTATCAAGCGATCCTCAAACACATATATAAATCTATTCTCTTTTCCTATTAATTATTTTTTTCTT